TGCAGGATCACTTCTTCCATTGCCTGGCGCAGATCATAAATTTCTATAGATTTATTTCATGGGTAACACAAATGTTCGAGTCAATCAACGTTGTCAGTTAAACAAAGGCACTAAACGTCATATGTTCGTGCATATGGGCAGTCCGATTTATTTATTACATTTACATGTCATCCTGCTTAGGTTGAAATTAAAGAGCTTTTGTAACCTAGGTAAACATCATCGGATCTTTAAGATATTACCGCACGTGAGTTAAAACAATTATTGAGCTTTACACTTGGTTTCATTGCGAAGCGTCATGCTTTTGGAGAGACACGGTGTTTGATGTATTCTATGGCAAAAAAGAGGATTGCCCCATGATTTGGCTTATTGAAAAAAATCACACCATGCCAAATTGGTCTTCTCATATCAGCAGAAATACCTGATATCGCCATTGATCCAGGCTTATTTCAGATCATCATCTAAAATATGTTTCATCGTCAGTGTGCATCACCATACATGTCTGTTTGACGGTTCCCAGCAGAACACCGAAGTCAAGCATCACTGGCTACTGTCAGTGTGCGGGTGGGTGACCACTTGGATCAGTCTGCGTAGGGACCGAGGGTGTGCGGTATTGGTCCTCGTTAAACTGTGCTACCGTAAAGTGCTCGACTTCGCGCGCAGGTCGTCGGGCTACCGAAGCGGGGGTGCCATCCCTTCCGCAGAGGATCAAAATTGTGATGGCATGTCTTCGGATCATCCTCCGGGATGTTTCCCAGACCGTCGCCAATAGCCCATTGTGCAGCTCTAGTGCGACGTAAAGTAACAACAACAACAACAACAACATGTCTGTTTGAAAATGCGCTAACGATATCCTAGAGAATAAACTGCTGAAACCATCACTGGTCTTTTTCACCATTAAATAAAATTCTCATTTCAAATCATAATCGCAAATCTCATTTACACACTTAAACACAAAATTGAAATTCAAACTGAAGTTGTTGTTGTAGTTCATTTACGTCGCACTAAAGCTGCACAATGGGCTATTGGCGACGGTCTGGGAAACATCCCTGAGGATGATCCGAAGACATGCCTTCACAATTTTGATCCTCTGCAGAGGGGATGGCACCCCCGCTCCGGTAGCCCAACGACCTGCACGCGAAGTCGAGCACTTTACGGTCGAACAGTTTAACGAGGACTAATACCGCACACTCTCGGTTCCTACGCAGACTGATCCAAGAGGGTCACCCACCCGCACACTGACCGCAGCCAGTGATGCTTGACTTCGGTGATCTGCTGGGAACCGTGTCTTAACGATCAGTTCACTACGGGACTCAAACTGAAAGCGTTGCAGGTTGCAACGCACGCAGGGTACAGCAAGTTTTAAATAAAAGAGAGCGCCGAGGATTAAATAACTGGGAAGTCTGAACTAGGCCTAGTGCCTTTAAACTGAATCTTTGCATTCTCCTCATTACCAAAATCAAGAATTAGTATTTGAATTACTTATCAATTCCCACTAAAAGCCAACTAATAAAAAAACCTTATCTGCAACTGGAGGCATTTAAGACTAACGAACTTTATAAGTTCAGTACTTTAATAGTTCTCAATAATCCTGATAACGATTATTTTATGTCTTAAACGATAACAGCAGAGAAGAAAAATTTTTTAGGAACACCAATGGTTCCTCATTGGCTAAGTAATCTCTCCTACCAAACGCTCTTTAGCGTGGAGCTAGCGGGTTCGAATCGCTCCGTAACCACGGATATATATTTGTGATGCTCTTCTCTAGCCTTTGCTCTCTGTTTTTCTAACTTGACAAGGGCTTATAAGCCGTATATTGTAATTATCACATAAGCTAGCTTAGGTATGTGCAACTGAAAACCAAGGTTTTTATGTGTCTAAGTTCCCAAATAACTACAGAGTAGTTCTTAGGTTCATGACTTGAATTAATTAGAGAACCAATAAAGCTTATCGAATTGCGTGTGCAACATGAAATTTTTTGACTTAGACCAATTAAACCTTACATTCAATTCAATAGATGGATATCGTACAAGTTCTTGATTATAAGATGACAATTTACTGTTTCAGATACGGTAGTGACCTGGATTAAAGATTTTTGCTGCTATATAGTAGGAAGTAAGTTTGTGTCTCCTCGTCAGTTAGCCTCAGCATTTTCGGGAAAATGGCACACAAAAGATTTTTCCACGTGGGGACAATTACTTTAAGAGTATTATTGTATCGACGGTAGCCTGCTGTTGACGAGTTGTTGAAACAACGGACTACGATAATGAAGAGATCTTTGGTTCGTGCCTAGAAGAACATTAACACGTGAAAACAAATTTAGTGCTCTATATTATAAGCATGACCTACATACACTCGTAAAAAACTGTCTCGTATTTCATATCTCAAAATTAAGCGAAATTTGTAAATACACGAAAGAGATAGGTACTGGTACATTAATTTACGTCACACTAGAGCTGCACAATCAGCTATTGACGACAGCCTGGGAAATATCTCTGAAGATGATCCGGAGACAACATACATACGCCATATCCCGTTTTACAGGGACACATTCACACACCATCCATCAATCCGCAGATCGTAAATTTGACCTGATCCAGAACACGATCAATCTCCGATTCAATACACCTTAGCAGAGGAAATTGATTGTCATGGGAACTTGGAGGATTTTATGACCCCTACAGATTTAGAGTGCACCAGCCACCAATTTGTGCACAGGGAGTCTTCGGCTGCCATTGATCGAACTCACGACCTCTCAGACATGGGCCCAACCAGGCTATCCCCGTGAAAAGAAGTAGGCAATAGTTTTATAAAATTGGACCTACGATTTCCAATAAAACACGTGATTTGATTTAATGGTGGTGGATAAGAAAATTCCTGCTGCTCGCATTTGTCTTCAAGGTATTGAGAAAAATCGAGAAATTATTACAAGGTACTTCAATAAACTGTCTGTTATTTTCTCAATTAATGGTGTTATGAGTATAAATATACAATAAAATTCATTAGAGATAACTGAAGTAAATTTATAGACTTTAAATGCCAATTAGAAATCTTAATGAAAACTATTTTAGCGTAAATTCAATGTTAATAAAATTAGACACACAAGTTGAAGACAAATTCTTCATTCATTACATAATCTTAATAAATAAATTTAAAAAAAAAGTAAAAGAAATCTTTACTGTTTACCAGAGAAGTAAACAAATTTTTATTTTAAAGTAATATTCCCTTCATCACGATCACCTGCATTTTATGGATTTTAATTTTAAACCACATTTCTCTAGGATAGTTATTAAAGATATTTACTCATTAAAGTGAAGGTAAAAAAGAACATAGCATTGTTATTGGATGCTTGAAAATGGATGATTTCTAGAGCCCCCCCCCCAGATGTGAAGCATCGCTCTGGGTATTTCTGATCCTCCAATTCCCTTTTCGTAAATTTTGGTGCGAGATCAAATAGTTTAGATTCTGATATCCGGCTTTTATGTGTTTGAAAACCAAAGAAATTTTAATATTGTCTTATATAAATGATGGCATCCTTATAAATAACTACACTAAGTAGTTGATTCCACTAACCATTATAACCTACAGTATTATATTAATATCTTCAGGGTTGCCACAGAAAAAAATGAACAAAAAAGCTGCTTTTAGTTGCCCAAATAAGAAATTTTTTTTCTTCAATAATATGACTAAAATTTTATTAAATGACTTAATTGTCATATACCATGATCCATTTAGTCACACTGGTGGCCAATATGATAATTTTTATATAAACCTTAGTGTTATAGCATAAATTTTTTTCTTCCTTTTATCAATAATTGATTTAGCAATTATATATATATTGTGAAAAGTGATGACTCAAATTCGAAATTCACGTATCGTATTAAAAGCTGTTTTTTTTAAAAATCATGCAGAATTTCGTAGTAACCGTTGAAAAGGCGACCGAGAAACAAAATAGACTTACAATTGAATCTGTGCAAATTGAGAGCATTAAAAAGCGATGACTCAAATTTGCAATTCAAAATTTTCAACATATTTATTTTTAAGGAAAAAAAAAATTATTGTGTTCACTGTTTGTTGCAACACTGCATTTTATACAGTTCTTTAACCTAAACAGGGGTGATTGTGAGCCCAACTCAAAAATCCTGAAAATGTCTAGAGTAAAATCATTAATGAAGCATTTCAAAAAATTAATATGCTTAAAAATTTAAATCATTGATATTTTTAAAATACGAAATTCTAAATAAATTATATGCAGCATAATTTAAATGAATAACTATAAGTTTACTTTTACCTCTTGTCACATTCACTATTCCACCAGAAAAAAATACTTCCAAATAAAAGAGATGCCAAGTATAAAATCTAGTTATTTTTTAAATAAAATAGACAAGAATTTTTATACATGAATGCGATCGATGATTTCCGGAAACTTCCAGATAGCAGTTAGCGAAAAATCCGGATTTTTTTTTGGAGCACAATAATTTCTGCCTAAAGGATATCAATGTAGTTAACTCAAATATGATGCAAGTCTGATTAGGTATTAAACTCGGCCAGAATTATTTTTATGCAATATTATATTGCTTTATAAATAAATATAACTAGATTTTGATTTTAACTAACCAACTGGGATTAGTTTTAGATGGTTAAAGGTGGAAGCACTGGACGTTTCTCAGGGCATCAATGTAGTTAATTTAAATATGATGAAAGTTTGATATTGTGCAAGAATTTTTTTTTAATGCATTATGTAATATTACATTGCTTTATAGATGAATATAACTAGATTCGGATTGGCTAGACTTAATTTTAGCTAGTTAAAGTGCTGGAAGTTCTTTAGGCTTTATAATAGAATATGATAGGAAAGCACTTTAACTGATCAAACCTAGGTTTATTTTATTTTTGCTTTATCTGTAACATGCACAGTTTAAAACAAGAATAATTCTACAAAGCAATAAAAAAAAAAAAATTATGCTTTGCTTACTTGTAAAAAAATAACAAGACATTCCAACTTTTACGTTATAATGGATAATTTATTAGGAAAAAACCAGTACCAAAGTGTTATTATACAAGCAAATGTGATCAACACATGATGAAATCATAACAAATATTAAGCGATGTTAAACAATGAATGCTTCATAAGTTTAGTACGTAGTTTAAGCACTGTGCAGTTCAGAGGTTTGTCCTTATATTTTTTTCCCTTCTCAATCATCACCCCTATCTTTTTGTTCAGGCGCAAGTTTAATAAGATCATCGATGCGAAGAATGGTAATTGCTGCTTCAGTTGCAAACTTCAAGGACTTTATTTTGGAAATAGCAGGTTCCAGAACACCATATTTCTTGTTATTTCGCACAGTTCCATTATATAAATCAAGACCTACCCTATAAGATAAAAATAATTATGATTACAATTAAAAAATTTAATGCATAATTTCAAAAAAACAAATAAATAATAATAGAATAAAAAATATATAAATTTTTTTTTAAATGAATCTAATATAAAAATACAGATCAATCATACAAAAGAGTTAAGAAGGATCAAATGAAAATGCACCATTCCTTAAATTAAGTTTTCATTAAATATGATTATTAGCAAAATATAAATTAAGTATTATAAAAGAAAGTTAAACATAGTACAAAAATAAAGATAAAATTATTAATCAATATTTTGTAGCATTCTCTAACATAAACCAAAGCCAACTAAGCAATTGAAAAAAGTACCAACGAAGATCAATATCGTTCTTTATTATTCAAAATAATTATAACCACTAAAAACTTCATTATAGTAGCAGAGTAGCTGAAAAGGTTGGGAGAGCCTTATACAAAATAAAATAGAACTCCCCTAATTTATCAAGGAAGATAAGGGTTGCTTGTTTTCGAATGCAAACAAGTCATGATTACCTTCAGCAACATATCTTAATAATATAGGCATAGTAGCTTCTGCCTCATGCCCTCTGTGTGCACCATATTGAAAGATATTGAGAATGGGGATACTTTCGTTTCTGGTTTGTCACATCTTAATTGGACAGCAAGACAGAGAATCATTGGACATCTTTATTGGTGCATAAATTTTTTTTTACTTTCAAATTCAAAAATAAAACTTTCAGAACTTAAAGATTAAAATCAGAAGTAAAAAGATAATCAATATTTTTTTTGCAAAGACAAATTTTTTGATAAAAAAAAATGTATTACCGTAAAATTTCCACAAAACAAAATAGTAGAAAATATTAATATGAGTCTTATTATAATTTTTTTAAAAAAAATATTGAATACATTTTTACAATTTTTCTTTATATAAATTAAGCCAAAAACTAAAAATCATCAAATGATTGATAGTTTTTGTCAAGCATCCATAACAAAATTATTAGATCCTTAAAAACAGAAAACGACATATACAGGGATGAGAGTAATCAAAAAGTAAAAAAGAGGAAATCCAATATATATATATATATAAACAAAAATTTGACAAAAAAAACTTGTAAACCACGTGAATATAAATCCCGATATGAGATAAATCACGTAACTATGAAACTCTACATCGAATTTAAAAAATGCGAAAATACAAATCATGATTTTTTAATTTTTTGATCACGATGCATAATTTTTAAATAGCGCGATATTACAATCACAAAAATGAATCACGATATTGGATTTTAAGCTCGCGTGAATACGAATTGCTACATAGGGCTTTAAAAGTTCGAAAATACAAATTGCGATATTGATTTTTTAAATCTCGTAAGTAAAAATCGCAATGTACAATATTTAAATCGACTGAATAAGAATTGCAACGTTCAACTTTTAAATCAGGTGAATACGAAAATCGAGATTTGATAATAAAATCGCGATTTTATAAATGCATAAATACAAAACACGATATTGGATTTTTAAATGTCGTAAATAAGAATCATAATATACGATATTTAAATAGCGTAAATAAGAATCGCAATGTGCAACTTTTAAATCAGGTAAATACGAAAATCAATGATTGATATTAAAACCGCGTGAATAAAAATCGAGATATTTGCAGAGTCTGGACTTGGGATTTCCAAAAGGCTTGTTTGTATTGTTTTTGTTTAGACATAATAAATAAAAATTTACAAGATTAATTGAATGAGCAAATAAATATTTTCACCGCAAATCCACCTGTATTTTTTTCCTCTTTTTTTGCTTGTTTTCACGCCAGAATACAAGAAGCAGCGACGTCTGAATTACGAAAATAAGAGCTATCCAGCCGATGGATAAAAAATACGGAAAATCTTATTTTCTGTGCGTGAAATCGGAGAAAATAGCTAAAATAAGTAAAAATGCGGAAGGGTCAGCAGCTAGGGCGTAGATTGAATTTTCTGTTTATCTTTGAAAATCGTAAATAAATATAATTATTTTACTTCAATGACTGAATTTAAAAAAAAAAAAAAAACGGGATATTTATTTAAAAAAAAACGAAACTTTTAGAGAATCGGAGTTTTTGATAAAAAGGCTGAAATTCGAGAGACAAAAAAAATCTCATCCCTGGTCAACCAGTTTTATCTCAAGGAAATGATTTTTAGAGAAACTTCAGAGGCAGGAAAAGGGACTTCAATAATTTCCCCCCTCGGAAAATTAAATTCCTCATAAAATATTTTAACTTGTGCAAAAAAAAAAAATTTCAGCGGAAATTAGCGGGAAAAATGGAAAAATCTGAAAAAAAGCGGAAATCCGAGAATCCGCGGAAGAATCTCATCCCTGCATATAAAAATTAAAAGCAAATTTACCATTTTAGATCAGCATGTTCCTGTACTGTTTGTGAACTATTATGATAAGCTCGAAGCTTCGAAACTAAATCGCTAGCATCTTTAGCAGCATTGACAGCTAATGTTTTAGGAATAACTAGCAGACTTTTTGCATATTCAGCAATAGCTAACTGTTCCCGAGAGCTCTGAAAGATAAGTGTACTAGTGTATAATAACAAAATAACTATTTGTAAACTAAAATATAAACACAATTATGCAATAAAAGTAACACATAGCTGCACGTCTATTAGGCTGGAAAAAAAGTATACAAATTGAAAAAGAAAAAATTGCGAAATGTTACTTATAGTTATTACAACATACTTCTGCATGCTTTTTAAAATCGCAAAGATTTAATAAGATTTTATAGTGTACCATGAATTTCGAATAATTATTTTTTATTTAGACAAATTCGATTAGCAAAGATTCCACTATAAATCCATTTGGTTTGCCAATCGCTATTTGACAGCTATTGTTACAAATTTCCAAGATTTTTAAATTCTCGACATTTTAATATATTATTATAGCATACTGCTAATTTCAAACCATGCATTTGAGTAATCATTTTTAGACCCACCTGTTAACGATGATTCTACTGTCAATCATTATTGCAGTAGTTATTAAAACTGATTTTCACATGATTTTTAAACACTATATTATCACACAATGGAACTTTCGGAATTTCTTGATTTTTTACTGCCCCATAGTTTTGTAAGGGAAATTTTTAATCATACGTACTGTGAAACGAAGAATAACATTTTATGCACTCGCTTAGCGATAATTTGATAGTAGTTTTTAAAATTTCAATTTCTTTTATGATATATTATGATCCTCGAATTTCACGTAACGCTTCAGAGTAATTTTTATAACAGTCTAGTAATGGCAATTTCATTTCAAATTTTTTCAAAATGCAAGAGTCTAGTGTAGATTGAAACAAAGTATGTGATTCTTGGCTGCAGTAATCCTTCTGCGTGTGAAGAGAGAAAAAATGCTGCGGTGTAGTGAAACGCCGCCCTAATCACAAAACTACGGACGTAATTTTTATGATGTAAAATTTTTTTCCTTCATAATATAGATGAAAATTGATAAAAATGTAACAAAAGTCAGAAACCGCGTAAAAAAAATAAAAATAAATAATAATAATAATAAAAAAAAAAAACGGAGGATTTTTCGGCTTAGGCTATTATTAAATGTTTATCTAATGTTTGTTAATTAGAAAGCTTTGATGGTCATTTTGTTTTAGTAACGAAAATAAATCATAACTTAAGAAATCTTTTATATTGACCTATAAAAACATTAAAAATTATAAAGAGAACTTGTGGATGATTAGTCAATAGTTCTACTGATTGCCCTAAGTTTCCGTTGGAAACTATAAAATAAAATTCATATACACAAATATTTTTTCCATTATTTCCCCCCAAAAAACCTGATTTTTTTTGGGGATAAAAACATTTAATACTTCAAAATAGTATAAAGACTTTTCTAATAAAAAATAGTGATTATTAGGGACAGTTCAAATATTATACATAAACAGTGTGTTAATAACAATTTTTCAAAAATCTTAACATACAAAAGTTGCAATGATACACAGAAATAAACTGACGGTTTTGCTAGGTAATGGTTAATAAAATAAAAATAAACCAGATTCACATACCTGCCAACTTTTACGTATTTGGCGTAAAATTTTATTTCTATATTTAAAGTGGTAGTAAAATGAATGCTTTCTATATATTCCTTGCATTTATAAACTTAATTTATAATATTTCTGATCCACCACTATTTTTAAAAAAATTAAGCATATATATTTATATAAAATACAATTTTTGTATTACGTATAAACTTTTTCAAAATACAGCGAATGTTTCTGTCTAAAATTGCAATTTAAAATTCATTTTGCTACCACTGGGCAAAATCATCTTTGAAAAAATAAAAAATTGGCAGGCATGGATTCAAAATAAAGAATGATTTCAGGCAGGCTTGGTAGGACAAAGTAAGGACTTTCTTTTGGCAGAACAATGGAAAACACAGGCAAAATTTCAAACTCATGATAGCAAATGTGTTGCGCTAAATTCTGTTAATTAAGGAATAACAGCAGGAATATAAATTCAAATTGAAAATATGTATGTGTAGTAGCAACAATTTTAAATCTCCGCTAAAACATATTTCAGTATAATTCAATAAATACTTCTATAAGAGCAATTCTACCAATTTAATAAAATCCTTGAGATTAATAAATCATGAGATTTAAAAATCATGAGATTGTTTAGGTATTTCTTCAGACTATACTTAAATTTTTAATTTTAACTAAGTAGTCTAATTATATAGAGAATTATTAATTGCCTCCCTCCAAATTTGGCAAATATATATATATTTTTTCAGATGAGAAGGGCAAACAAATTACATATGTTTTATTTTTATGTTAAAAAAATTAACAAAATTTTATTTCTGAAATATTTAAATAGTATTTAATTTTAAACTACAAAATAAGATTAAATTTTATGAAATTTTTAAAAACATACTAAGGAAAATAAAATACAAAAACTGCACACAAAAGCTTCAAATTGTGGCAAAAACTTGCCAAGCCCCGATTTCATGCAAAATGATTTTCAGCTTACAATAAAGAGCACTTAATTTGCACTTACCAATGAAGTAGCAAAATTTTCTAAGTAGATTGACAAAGCAGCTTCAACAGCTCCTCCTCCAGGAACAACTGTCTTTGATTCTAAAACCCTCTTGACCACACACAAAGAATCATGAATGGATCTTTCCATTTCATCTACATAAAAGTCATTGGCACCCCGCAAGATGATAGAGCTGGCAGTGCGAGCTTTTGGCCTACAAAAAAAGTTAAGAAAAATAATCACCCCAAAATTGGTACACACAAATAGATATTATGCATTTTCCTAAATTACAACTTAGCTGCAATGGTAAAATTTTTCTCCATAAGTTGCAAATTTTTTTTTTACTTATTTGAGAAGTTGTAGCATAAACAAAAATAATTAGATACATTTTGAGGTAGAAATCTTGCGTAAAAATAATAATACAAACCCTTTGATAAGAATAAGTTCATCATCACATATACGTTCTTGGCAAACTTCTTCAGCTTCTCCAAGCATAGATGCTTCAAAACTCTCTTCTCCTTCCAGGTTTGCTAAGCTTTGCAAAAATTGAGCTATTTGAAAAAGGGGAGGAAAAAAATCAATTAAAGCAAGCAATGTGAAAAATCAAATGCACAAAACAATGTTTTAAGTGCCTAATTTTACCAAATTCTTTCTGTTTCTAAGCAAATTCTGTTGCTGAGAAAACTTTATTAAAATTTCCTAATAAGCAGTCAATTTTTTAAATTTAATAGTTGCAAATCAACAGACCTTTCCACAGAAGAAATTTCTTATAAATAACGTTGGCAATATAGTGTATAGCTTGTATAGATTAAAGTATGGTGATAAAAATAAAAAAATTTTTTTTTTTTTGTAAATTTTCAAACTTTACTATTTAGTGCCTTGTATCTTTTGAATAAAATAATTTTGTTCTGTTTGAGAAATAGTAGGTCACGTGTAGTTACAATATTAAAAACAAATAAGCAGAAATAAGTATGAAAGCCTTCATTTGAATTAACCACATACCTCCGGTAGCTTTGGCTATTCTTTTCAAATCTTGTTTTTTGCATCTCCTCACAGCCATAGCACCAGCTTCAACAAAATATTTCAAACACAAGTCATCAATGCCACCAGTTGTAAGAATAACATTAGCACCTGCTGATAATATCTTTTGAATTCTTTCCTTAGTAATATCAGATTCCCTGGAAATATTGAAAATGCTTATCAATATTCTTTTCACATTACATAATTTGATTGTAAAACTACAAATAAACATGCTTATTTGTGAGCATTAATTAAACACATTCTAACCATTTGGTGATCTAACAAATAGTCACCAAATGCAAATAGTCTAAAAATTATTTAAGTTTGAAAACAGAATGCATATACACAAGTATAGAGCTCTGGTGGACAGAATACACAATGGTAACAGAATTCAAAATGCAAGAATAGGTTATGTGCTAAAAATAAAGTCTATGCTTGATATAATGTACGAGCCCTGCCATTTAACCGAAAATTGATGTTAAAACGTGAGATCTCTACATCATGTGAGAATAAGTACAGAGAATAAGTACTTTCTCATAACTAAAAAATGACCAAATTTGGAGAAAACCAGGCTATAGTTTAAAATTAATTAGGTAACTGATCAAATAATTTACCATAACAAAAAACACAGGCTTCATAGTGAGCCAAAGAAAAAAAAAATCAGGACATTCTTTGGAACAGTTTGCATATACCAGACTACTTTTAAAAAAGGAATATTTGCTTAGATTAATATAATATGTAAATCAAGAGGAAAGACCAATTTCAGCCATTTTCCACAAAAAACATTGGATCATCTTGCACATTTTGAGGATTACTAAATTTTCTCAAACCAATAGCATGGAAAATTGGTTCTCCACAAAAGTTATACAAAGGCTGTATAGTGAAGAAGACTGTCAGAAGACTAGAAAGAAAGTATTGATTGAGGAGAAGAAACGGTTCTTGATCTATCAGATTATTAAGTTTTATTTTTTCTCAACATCAAAATTTGCACACTTTGCTTTAATATTTTTAGGGGATGTAAATAAGTGCTTGTTATATTTGCCTAGACTTTTATTTTTAGGATTTCAATCTAATGCTTGCTACTGAAAATTCTCAAACCTTTAAATTAGTTTATCCTAGAATCAACAATTTAGACATAAATCATTCTTTTCCCTTGATTTTCATAAGTATTAAAAGCAAATTTTACTACAAAAGGATAATAAAATATACTATTTTTAACTTCAGAATTACTTGGTTTAAAAAAAAAAGTTCTACAAGTTTCCAATATAATGTTATCAATACTGAACAACTCTCAATAGTTTCAATTCAATGTATGGAGGATTTTTATAGTACCAGTGCATTAAAAAAACAAGCAGTATCAATTAGTTAACATTTTCTTAGTCAAATAATTTTAAAGTAGGGTTTAAATGATCTCGAAATGATAACACAGTGTATAATTTCTCATTCTTAATTCATTATTAAAAAAAATTCAGTATGACTTTTTTTTAAATTGTCGATTGGAATCAATTGTGAAACTATAAAAGTCCACCCAACAAATCTGTTATATAATAATATATATAATCTGTTATAACAGATGATCCAATATAAACTGCATTTGCTTAACAAATGCAGTTTATATTAAGTAATCATAAAAAGTCGAGTTAGTCACCAAAAAAATTTGATGACTTAAAATTGTAGAGTTTCTTTTTCATATAATAAATGAATTCTCAAAATGGTTTAAGCAATGGATCCTGTGACTAAAGCTATTATGTTAGAATAAAATTAGTAGACATTCACTAAATTGGAACTATCCAATTTTGTAATTTTTTTTAACATCACTTAAAAAGATATTAGTTCAAAAATACAAATTTTTCGATTCCTCAAATCTACTTTTGAAAACTCCACATTTGTTTTCTCAGAAAACATGATATTCTGAATACACAGAAATATCAAGACAAAAAACTAAAAACCAGGACAGAATATTATTTATCATTAAAATCTGTTATTAGGTTGCAGAATAAAAAGATAATTGAGAAAAGCATAAAATGAAATAATAATTTAGCTTTTAAATGATAGAAAATCTGCATATTTTTGCACGACATAACATACATTCAGAGTTAAGTTTTCATAAAATTTTCTCTATTCTAATTCCATCAATTTCTAATTTTGAAAGTCTACTTTGAAATGCTTGACTCTAAGTGTATTTATCATATAACTTTTAACCTCTGAAACCAAATTTTTTGAAAATAAAATTTATTTTAAACAAACTGATTGTCAGATTTTAATACTAGTGGAAAAGTAATAATTTATAAAATATCACACATTTATTTTTTAAGAATATATGCAGACTGATAAACTCTTATCTCTTAATTTTTAATATAAATGTATTTTTCTCATTATACTTAGGAATAACCTAATCTCTCTGAGCAAAATTTAGTTAAATTCATCATGATTTTACAAAAGATCATAATAATGAAGATAAATATGGAAATTTAAAAGTACTGAAAAGTTAGAAACGATATTCCATGAATTTTTCAAAATTTATGCTGGAAAAGACAGTGTTTTCAGTACAGCGTGAGAACGCAAGAACCGCACATATTTGTTTTCTTTACTCGCATAAAAAAATGATCACCGCGAGAAATTCGCGCATTCTATAAATCAATTTCAAAATTCGTGAATTTCTCGCATTTTGGAAAAAACTTCACATTACGCTATTTAGAATAAAATCAGTTTCACTTTTCTTCCTGGATCTTTCATTATTTTCAACATCTGCCCTGTTACCTAGCTTCTCTATTTACCAGTATTGTTTAGAACCTTTTTGAACAGAACACTACCCTTCCGAACCACAGAACCCCTTTCAGAACACATTTCTCTGTAACCGTAAGGAAGGTAAGGTTTCCTCATGTAAGACGTTCAAATTTTTTATGCACTAATGAAAGAGGGACAAATACCTTGTAAAATCAAAATCTTCTATGATGATACAGCAAAAATATTCAATGCTTTACAAAATAGAAGACGTTAAAAATGTATTATAATTAAAGAAATAATTTTTTTTCCACGTCTATTTGCATACTTGCCAACTTAAAAAAACTGCCATCAGTAAAACTTTTTTTACGAAAAATTTAAGACTATTCGAATTATTTAATAAGTAACAATACACCACAAATGAATAATAAATATATTAATTATAGAATCTATCACATGATTGAATGTTGATGAAGTAAGAACCAAATTTTCATTAAATTTTTTAATTGCACTTGTTAGAAAATGTACAGAAATATCTAATCAACCAACCATTTGTCATCTCAATTTCTATTACAATTATTTCAAATTCTATTACAATGATGCTACTTTTTAAAAAAATGCTATATGCAAAATAAAATAGTTCTTTAAGGGTTTTCCTCTAAATCAACAGCAAAAGAGGATGCTGAATTTAAAGAAGCTGAAGTAGCCTTCTTTGCTTTAATTAAAAAATCTTTTTCAAACACTTGTTCGTGACAGATTTTAGAAAATTTGGTTTTTAATATAAGCAGGCTTTCTAAAGTTTTATTAGACATAATTGTTCGCGATTCAGTACGGTTCTTTCTAACCAAACTAAAAATTCTCTCACATTCTGAATTTGAATGTGGTATGAGAAGAATTGACAATACAATGTTTCCCAATTTTTCATACTTAAACATGCCATCCGCACCTTTCATTTGACTTATCATTGACCACTGCACATCAATTGATCTATCTGGAACAGTTATTTCACTCAAATCTTCCAACTGAAGTTGGCAAAACTGTTTCTGCAGTTCATCCATTGCTGTAAGCTTGGTTTCATTACTTTTTGTTTTTAAAAGGAAGGGAAACAAATTTACAAAATATCTCACACTTTCAAAACTGGAGTTTTCAATTTTATTTAAGTCAGCAACTTCAGCATGTTTGAGTACTTGATCATTTAAAGGGAATTTCTTAATAATATATTCACAGGCAGTTATGAAATATTTGATAACAGCTGAATAAAACAATGATTTTTCTTCTTCCGAAGAATTTGAAATTAAGTCCATTGCTGCGTTGCCTATAACTAAATCTTGCTGATCTTTATGGTTGAAAGAAGAATGAAAATTGACACATGTTAACTCTTTTCCTTTAACCTCAGAAGGTTTAACAAACTTCGAAAAAAGTTCTTTCAACATATCCAAAAGAAGAGCTCTTAATCGATGAATTTGTGGGGAAGATGACTGTAAAATTACATTTACCTTTTCAAATGTAGGGATAACATTTAAAAGAAATAAACTAAAGCACTTATTCAAATCTGAAGATAAAAACATAAAAATTTTCTCTTCTTTGGATAAAGTTGAAGAATCTTTTTGAGCTTTATGTCTTTTAACAATATTCACAATTTCTTGTTGTGAACTTTTCCTTTTTTTATCATTAGTTGGGTCCTGCTTATGTGTCTTAGTTTCCACTTTAGGCTTATCCTTCAATTTTTCTACTCTTGTGTTGCTTTCTGTATCAACTACTTTTGGTATTTTGAAAAATGACAAAGTAGATGATACAGACACACTGGAAGTGGAAACTTCAGCTCTGAAATAACTTGTAAGTGGATCCCACTGATTAACCAAGCGTGTAAGACTTCTCCCTAACGATAACCAGCGAGTTGACACATGCTTAAGCACTTTTTGTGCTTCTTTACCATACATTTCCTGAAATTTCTTAAGAGAGTCCTTACGATTAACGCTCCTTTTTAAGTGGTAAAAAATATCTACCAAAACTTCATCTATCCTAACGGGAAAAGTTGCAGCAGCTTTTTCAGAGGCAAGATGTATTAAATGGCAGCAGCATCCAATTGATATTATGTGCTCATTTTCTTTTTCTAAAAATGAAATCACACCATTTTTCTTTCCCTGCATAACAGAAGCATTATCTGCACTGAATGCTATACAATTTCTAAAAGGAATGTCATATTTAGCAAACACATTTAAAAGAAGGGAGCTTATATTTTCACCTGTGGAGTTTCCTTCCAAATTTGGGATTGCCAATAAAGTACTTTCAATGCGTTGAAGATCCACGTTAAAATAACTCACCACAACTGGGTACAACTTATAATCAGCTTCGTGACTACCATCACATGCTGCAGTAAATGCTTGTTCTTGCAAATATTTAATGATTTCTGAAGTTCGATCCATAGCCATTTCATGGACAAGGGATGCAGTTTTGGTTTTAGCACATCCGTAACGTTTCGCAATTTCACTTTTCGGAAACATCTTTCGAAAAAGCGGACCCACATGGCTGGCGGCATTTAGCGGAACATTATGCTCAACTAAAAAAGAGGTAAACAATAACTCAGCACGCATTACTTCATCTTGGACATTATCAGGTGGCTTAAAAAATTTGCTTAGTCTTTGGTTATTTTCAGCGTTTTCAATGTTCTTGGCATGATTCGGTCCGGTCACGTGGCGATGTATATCATTTCTACCTCCGTGCGATATTAGAAAGTCAGAAAAACAAATCGTACAATAAGCATACTTTTCTCCTTTGTTTGATTTTTTTATGCATGGAAACTCTGCAGTATAAGAATTCTTATACGATTGAAAATAAGTTTTCTTCGGTTTCATTTTTAACGCACACCACGTGATTACAAGCTAAGTAGTAGTCGACAGTTCAGTACCGTTTTCGTTCGTTACAGAGGGAGGGAGAACGACGTTTGGATCGGCTAGTTCAGTGACGTAGTAGAAACGGGGAGTGGCAATAATGACGGGAACAGCGCATTCACTAAAGGAGACTGGAAGCAGTTAGGAGGGAGAAAAGGAGAATAACCAATCAACTGGTTTACACGTGAACGTGCCGTTACTATGGTTACGAGGATAAGCCACTTATAAGGGGTGTGTGGTTACCGTGTTGCTTTGGAATAGATCGGAAAACTCCTGTCATTTTTTCTGTTTTCCCCCTTTACAAATGGTTTTACTCTAGCTCCGTAGCAGCTGATAATCGCGGAATTTTACCGATGTGCTAATCGTGCAACGCTAAAAACGGGGGATCCGTATAAATTCCAGGTTAATCCGTAGGCCCGTAGAATTAGACGTAAATCCGTACATTTTACGGATAATCCGTAAAAGTTGGCAAGTATGTATTTGTGTTTTATTTTAGTTTTTTGAAATCTTACCCTGTTTTTGAGAAAGGGTGAGAAATTCTCACCCTTTTTTTTTTCTATGATGAAAACACTGAAAGAGCATAATATAAACACAAGTGTATTGCGCTACACTACAAATATTTATTTGTACAGAACAAGAAAAATAATATTGCTACACACCAAATCACCTTTGATGAAGCAGGTCAAAAATGTACACTCAGGCTTCAAACAAATAATTGAATAGACAAGAGGTAAAATATATTACTTATCAATCTCAATGTAAATTATTTATATGTAGTTGTTTGAAATATGACCAAAATTTTAACTTCATTAATAAACATCCATTATTATTCAGATACAAATGCAGCTTCAAAACAAATACACAATTATTCGACTGGAAATATATCAAATACCTTTGTCTAATAGCATCTAATTTCTCTGGATCTGTGATGAGAACTTGAATACCAAGATGCATTTTAACTTTTTGAAGTGAGAAATCTATGCAAGCTATCTTTGCATTTGTTATTGTCTTAGGCATAGCTGAAAATTACAACATATTTTAATCTTGTGAAACATAAAAAGTCAACATTTTTTTCTTTGTAGTCAAATAAACAAGTTGAAAGAAAAAATTTAGTTGCACAGAAATTACATTCAATTTAAAAAAAAAAAAAAAACCTTTATTGGTCTATTATATAACTTAAAATTTTCAATTGTATTTTTGCTAAGAATAACAACTCATTTGAAAATACCATTTTCCAATTAACAGTTAAATCTAAGAAAAGTTTTAGCAAAAAAATTATAGAATAAAATTTCTAGTTTAACTGAGAAAAAAAGTGCTGTTAAGGTTTATGATTTCAGCTCAACTATTTACTATTGATAACAGGGGTCTGTCTAGGTTTTTCTGAGAGGTACCTATTTTGTGAAAATTTAGACATAATTTGTAAAAAATTTAAAATTATATTAAAAAATCAACACAAAAATATGGATTTATCGTTTCTTAAGGGATACAAAAATGAAATTTTAAGAAAAAGTATTTTGTGAAGCTACCGTTTTTCCTAAAATTGAATTTGTGAAACTACCGTTTTTCCTAAAGTTGAATTTGTGAAGGTACCACTAAACGGTAGTAAATTCGGCCTGGACAGACCCCTGGATAAGCTCAGGAAAAAAAGTAATTTCAATATAGTACCCATGTTCTGGCAAACTACTAAAAATTTAAGTTAAAAGTTCGTAAGATAAGTTTAATTCAAGATAAAATAGAACAGCTGTAATTTAGAGAACATACCTGCTGTAAAAATGAGATGTAGTAATTTTTTTAAAAAAACATTCCATACAATTACTTATGAAATATTCTTAGCACAAAAAAAAGTTTATCAATAAAAATTTTACAAAAATGTATCTCGTTTAATTATTTCCTTCTGATCTGATTTCTGCATAAGATTATAAAACTTTAGATGCATTATCATGGAAATGACACAAATTTATTAGGAAGTTTGAATTTTGGTGTTTTTGACAAATTTTCAATCACTTTTAAGGAATAAAAGAAAACTATTTAAAAAAATTATGGTAGTTTCTTAAATAATTTGCTTAGCTAATTTTGGTTTTATTTACTTCCACAGTTGGCATTTGGTCGACAGTAACTAATTTTTGCCCTGCAGTGGCAGAAACTGAAGAACTTCTAATTGTTTTGATAATTACTAAATGACACTCGTGTAAGTAAATTAAAAAATAAGACTCCATTTCATCATTTAAAAAACTTGACATAATAATAAATATTTTATAATTTAATATAAAATTTTTGAAGCACAGTAATCGATCATTGTTGAAATTGCTCTGCATTAGAAATTTTTGTTTTATAACCTTCTTGTAACTTTTACAAACTATTCTTTTTATTGTTTGTAAATCTATTATTTTGTTTACATTAAATATAAAAGTGTATATCAAATATTTATACAAAATAGAGTAATGTTAATAAATATAAATATTCTAGATTTCAGTTTTTTATTAGATCCAACTCTAAAATTCCCTTATTTACTATTACTTAACATGATTGAATGAAGCCACTTTCAAATAGTTTTCATTGAATTTTATTTATTTACCATTGACAACAGAATTACTCCCGAAATAAAAAACTCGACTCTATCTGGCGAATAGGGCTGAGAAGATTTATTGAATCTAAGTTTCTTTCTAGAAAAACAAAGGTCCTAATCTACAAAACTCTTGTCCGGCCAGTCTTGACATACGCTTCTGAAGCTTGGACAATGACAAAACAGGAGGAAAATTACATCACAATATTTGAGAGAAAGATTTTGCGGGGTATACTTGGTGGTGTAAATGAAAACAATAGCTGGAAAAGGAGATTTAACTTTGAACTGTAAAAGATTCATAAACAACCTGATATTATTAAATACATAAAAATAAATAGAATGAATTGGATTGCCCACATGATTCGAATGAGTGACGACAACACAATAAAAAAATATACTGCTTTTCAGACCCACTGGAAAAAGAAAGCGGCTGCAGTTGAGATGGGCTGACTCAGTGGAGTGTGATTTTTTCGCAATTAATGAAAAGAATTGGAGATCAAAGATAAATCGGAAGATATCATGGAGAAATCTTCAGAGGAAGGCATTGGCTCACATTGGGCTGTCTGGCCAACTATGATGATGAATTTTTTTTTATGAAGTCATTTGCATCGCAAAAGTTAACAATCCAATCATGTAAACAATTTCATTGGTTGAAACACTTACACACATTGGTTGTCACATTTACAGTGACCATGTCCATGTGACCAATAGGTAAGCTGTTCTTCTATTCCTGCAATTTGTACAAAATGAGCTTACTTACAGTTATCTCTGAGCTCTGTATGCTTAAAGAGTACTAAAAAACTGTGAAACCACATATTCATGTACCTTGCAATACACGGTGAAATAGTTAGATAAGAGTCGTTTGTAAAGAAATGCTCATTTTATTTGCAGATACTTGAAGAACATGAAGATGATATTTATGAGAAAGGAATTATTCAGGTCATAAATAATGTGATTACCTACAAAGAAGTCAAAGTGAAAAAACTCATAACTATTGCCCTTGATTTAGTTCAGAATGAGAACTGTTGAATTGCAGATGTTAGTAATATTTTGATTAATTTAACGTAGAGAATCTTAAGGATGCTTATGAAAGAGAAGTGATATACATATTTAAACAAGCAGCTACTGACTATTTTTCTCTAGATTATATGGTGTCAGCCAAAGTATTTGGATTGAAATTATGTACTGAAGAAAGAAACTGTTAGAATTTTGCTTGCCAACACGTTTTAATTTCTCACTATTTATTAAGAATGTTCATTGATTTTTAGATGGTATAATTTCTAAATTTACCCATACTTCCAAAGTTTTCAAATTTTTTCTTAAAAGCTGAATTTTTTGTTAATATTGAAAGGCTGAAACTTATTAACTTTAAAATGTGAAAAAAGATTTATTTAAGATAGAAATAGTAAAGTTATATACGCCGAAGAAATTTTCAACGATTTATCTGATTCATTAGAATGTTTGTACAACCCTCTGTCTATGTTGCATATTCTTATGTGTAGATAATTTAATTGACAATATTTAACTTCTTTAGCTAATACAGTCAGTGAACTACAGGAGTGAACTCCCGGATATAGTGAACAAAATGTTAGGTCCCGTGTCTTGCTATACACGTATAATGTTATTTTTTGTGGATATAGTGAACCAAAAAATTTGAGGAAGTTGGATATAATGAACTTTTTTCTGTTTTCAACTGATTTTTTTTGTAATAATTTCGAAATTTTTACTTTAAAATAAATACATATACCGATTTTTAAAACCATCTATAGAGGGGAATTTAGAGATAAGCTTCTTTTATCTCACATTCCCATCCCTAAACAAACCAAGCAGATATTTCCAACCCTGGCAGATAATGCACCTGTAAGGTGTCAGTGGGATCAATATGCATTTTCTGTCAGGATTGCTCATCAGTTAAAGATTACTAAATTCATTTTTTTTTTGTAAGCAAGACAAAGAGTAATGAAAAATAACAAATTTTTCACTACTAAATAATATTTTTCATTCATTTATTTAAAAGTGTAATAAAAGGGAGGAGTTTGGGAACCATTAATTAAATTGCCTGCGTAACGGATATAGTGAACCAAAATTTTGGTCCCTTGAAGGTTCACTATAGCGAGGTTTGATTGTATAAAAATTAACCACATTTCCCCCCCCCTTTCCTTAGAATACCTCTGGGAGTACTGAATTGAAAATTGATCGTTCTCTGGTTCAGGTCAAAATTAGGATCTGTGGATAAATGGATGGATCCGCCCTATAAAACAGGCTGCAACGTGTTTGGCTGAAATAGTATTCTTGGCTAAATATGGCGTCACTGAAAAATAAAAAACACACACCCTCTGCTTTAAATTCGCTTGGTTTCCTAAGCAGGCTTGCTGGCACTGGCAATAGAAAGAACAGAAGATAAAATAAAAAAATAATAATTTTTTATATACCTTGAGATGCTACTGTGCAATTCAAAGCATATCCATTTATCAGCATGCTCTCAGTTGAACTTCTTCCATGAGCTTTTAAAACATTGACTGCTTTGATAGGATAAAGGAAACCTCCCTTGCCATCAGAAACTTTAACAGCCATGGCAGCATCAACTACCATATTGGCAAAGAAATCACTTTCACTGGTGATACATTAAGGAACCATAATCTCAAATACTTGGGAAAAAATAGTTCATAATCATTGACTAGACGTTCCCAATAATTTGCGAATAATAATAAAATATATTTTTATTTAATAATACTAAAAAAATACTGTTAAATATAAACAATTACTTTGAATTAAAGAGATAATTATTACAGGGTTGCCTTTAGTAGCCTAAAGCATGAAAACAGTTGCCAAAAACTATGAAAATAGTTGCCAAAAACTATGAAAATAGTTGCCTAAATAAGAATAAATACTCAGCAAAAATAAGACTAAAATTTTATTAAATGACTTAACTGTCATATACTATGATACTGTGGCGCTTTTGAATACTAGTGGCGTTTTTGCATACTTGTGGCGTTTTTGAATAATTTTAAATAAAGGATAAATAGAAGTCTTACTTTTAACTAGTAACATTTTATTATTTAAACAATTTAAAAAATAACATTAATATAAGGATATACAATTAATTCAACTTATTTATACATTAATTCTTACGTGCTTTTATAATAGATGGAGAGAGACTTACCAAGTTTAGTCATGGTTCGGCCTTTTTGTCACTTAGGCTGATTGCTTTTTTCGTGATAGCTTTGAACCCTTTCCTTCGGCTGCTTTTATATCGTATTTTTTGGGTGATAAAAAGTTACAAATCTGAGGAAAGGTCAAGTTCAAAAGTCATTGTTGTTTTCGAGTTTGTCCAGTGATGGGTCAATCACATGATGGGGGTGACATTGTAAGATTTAAACCTAATCGTTTATTTGAATTACTTTATCCGTATTTAACTTACTATTTGCCGATGGAGATTTCCCACAGTAGTTTTATTTAATCGAAGACTCTGAAATGTTCTAGAAATCTAATCTTAGCCCTTTCTCTTGATTTTAATTTTGAGTGACGATAAGCGTCACATCTTCCTCAAAAGCCGAGAAAAAAAAAAAAAGTCTTGCTTAACCAGTTAAACTCAGAAGGAAAGTCTCTCTCTTATTTAACACATAACATAGTTTTCATTGTTTTTTTTAAAACTTTAAGTAAACAATCATCATAAACACGATTAAAGTGAAGTACAAAGCAATATAAATAATATGCAAGAAAAAAAATATAACATATACATAACAATAGAATACACCTGAAGATCTTGCATTCACAGGAATGAAATATTATTTAGACGAAAGATTTTCCCAAATTTGACAGAAGAATCCTAACATTGTAGATGATACGTACATTGTGCAAACTAAATTGGTAATTTATAATTTGTATTTCATTTTATACAAAATTTGCACATTATATATATATATATATATAAGAAAATAATTTGTATTTAAAAGAATTAAAATACATAGGATTTAAAGAAATGTTGTTTGATGAAAAGGAAAGGATAGTTCGATACGTTCTAGGAAACTTATGTATCGTGATATTCCATTAAAAAAAATCTTTTCGCAAAGAAAATATACAATATATATATAGGAAAAATAAAAATATTTAAAAAAAAAATATCCAAAATAATAGAAAATAAAATTTACATTTCATCTCCTACAACAAGTAATGCAAGTTGAGATGATGGTAATGCTTAAACAAATAATAATAAGAAAAGCTCCAAGCATTTTGAAACCAAAAAATACATTACTCAATGTAGAAAAAGATAAAAAATTAAAGAAACCTGAGCCAGAAGAATCAGAGCTGGTTATCGCTTTAGTGTATGAGGAATTAAAATTTAAGAGATTTATACTAGGCTCAGTTAAACAAAATGAAAGAAGTTTGCAATGCTTCATTTCTCTTGCTACAAGGCATAATTTTTCCTCATAACATTTTTGTTCAGCCTGAAATTTAATAACGAATTCCCGTGGCTCAGTCTCCAATACAAATGATTGAGTGTATAAAACAATTTTTTGAAGTTCAACAGATACTGTTCCAGCTTGGCAACTGGAATGAGCAGTAAACTTCAGCTCACTTAAAATCTGGCAAGAATAACAGCCTTTTGCCGTTACCTCACTTTCCATAATTTTGGGACAAATTTGTGACGTGTGTAGCATTATCTTGTAATCACTAAAACTAATGGAGAGTTTAACAGCTGCAGTTGCCAAGAGTTGTGATACTAGGGAACCCTTGTTCATAGAAAATAAGTGCAAGTCTCTGGCCAGTGGAAGGGCTTTTTCCTTTGAGCCGGTTATCAGGGTAAGGCCATCTGGTTTCCTTGTACATCTCAATGTTGTCTCGAAGAAATCACACTTAGTGATGTCGGGATCAAATATGAAACTTTTGGTGAAGCTTTCATTGGCCTGAATCTGACCCACCAAACCAGCCATAGGAACATGTTGAGGGCTAGCGGGCGTCAGATAAGCCTCTGATGGATTTCCAACTCGAACAACGAGGGAGTCGGAAAAATGAAGTTGTGGTTGGTTTAGCGAACCTTGAATTTCCATAAAAATTCCATCTTTTGTTTGGGCTGATAAAGGGAATGTCAGTACTTCTGACGTACCATTTTATAATAGATGGAGAGAGACTTACCAAGTTTAGTCATGGTTCGGCCTTTTTGTCACTTAGGCTGATTGCTTTTTTTCGTGATAGCTTTGAACCCTTTCCTTCGGCTGCTTTTATATCATATTTTTTGGGTGATAAAAAGTTACAAATCTGAGGAAAGGTCAAGTTCAAAAGTCATTGTTGTTTTCGAGTTTGTCCCGTGATGGGTCAATCACATGATGGGGGTGACATTGTAAGATTTAAACCTAATTGTTTATTTGAATTACTTTATCCGTATTTAACTTACTATTTGCCGATGGAGATTTCCCACAGTAGCTTTATTTAATCGAAGACTCTGAAATGTTCTAGAAATCTAATCTTAGCCCTTTCTCTTGATTTTAATTTTGAGTGACGATAAGCGTCACAATACATTTAGTTAAGTTGGTGACAAATATGATAAATATTCTATAAACTATTCGTGTAAATATTATAATATCGCGTAAATATTATGTATGGTGAGTTTCTGTGAAAAGTGATTACTTAAATTCGAAATTCATGCATTGTAATACCACATTAAATTTTTTTTTAAATCATGCAGAATTTCGTAACAATAAACGTTGAAAAGGCGATCAAGAAACAAAAAAGACTTATGATAGAATCTGTGCAAATTAAACACATTAAGAAGTGATGACTCAAATTTGTTATCTAAATTTTTTTTATTTCTTAATGTTTTAATTATTTATTTAATTTTTTAAAATTTTATTGTTTTTATTTTTTAAGAAAAGAAATTCAGTGTGTTCAGAAGATTTTGCAGACTGCAGGTTTTCAACCCAATTTATGCTAAAAAACATTGCTAGAAGTACAGAAAAGTCTCCAAATAGTCTCCTTTTCCTGAAAACAGTTGCTTTTCAACCTTTTTAGGCAAAAAAAGTTGTCATAGTCGCCTCATGCTGAAAATAGTTGAATTTTAGTCGCCTGTGGCACCCCTGTTATTACAAGAAAGGTAAAAATTAGCTTGTAGTTATCAAAGCATTTGTAATTAAGTTTGGAAAAAACTAGGTTCAAAATGAAAGAGAAATAGATTTAAGAGTTATCAAAAAAGCAACTTTGGATACAACGCTCTTGATTAAATGAAAAGATTAGAATGGGGAGAAAGTTGTCAGAAGAGTATTACCATTCACATATTTTTTTAAAATAAATAATATCGGCTATTGAACAATGCACAATCAAGGTAACCACTGGCTTGCTAGAGCCTGCAAAACACACTAAAATGTGCATCAGGGAATTCATTGCCACAAGGGAAGTTAACAATTTACCACAAGGGAAGTTAATGTTCATATATTGGCAATGAAAATAAATAAGATTGACTATTTCACATTTAAAATAAAAGCAATATATTTGCATACAATATGTGTAGCAATATATTTGCACACAATATGTAATCATTAATATCAAAAGAAATAAAATATTATTTTGAAACAATTTAATGTAATAAATAGGATACTAACCTAAACATACATTCTTTTTTAACTTTCAATGCTACTAAGTATTTTTTAAAGTCATAAGTTATAAAAACCCATTTTAAAAAAACTTTTAAAAAGTTTTTGAAGTTTAACCAACTAGTGGTAACACTGACAATGATAGAATATCTTTTTGTAATAGTACAAAATTTACTGAAATCAGGGATGAGAGTAGTTAGAAAGTAAAAAAGAGGAAATCCAAGAATGAATATATATATATATAATATGTAGAAGCTACGATATCTAAAAATTTGACAAAAAAAGTGCGATTTTTAAATCATACGATTATAAATCTCGATGATTAATTTTAAGATTGTATAAATATGAATTATATGAAAGATTTTAAAATGCTGTGAATAAGATTTTAAATTGAGAGAATATGAAGCCTGATATGTGGCTTTGAAATCTTGTGAACATGAAACTCGACATTGGATTTCAAAAATATGAAAATACAATAAATCATGATGCGTAATTTTTAGATCGCGTAAATACGAATCCCGATGCTTAGTTTTTAAATTGCGAGAATAAAAATCGAAACTTTTAAATCAGGTAAATACGAAAATTGATGTTAGGTAATAATATCGTGATTTTAAAAAAGTTTTTAGTAATTCGTTTGTTTTTGGGGCCAGCAAACAGTAAGCAGCCATGTCTGAATTACGTAAGTACGAGCTATCGGGGAGGGGGGATACGGAAAATCTTATTTTCTTTGCGCAAAAGCGGAGAAAATAGCTAAAATAAGTAAAAATACGGAAGGGTTGGTGGCTATGTAGTTTGAATTTTCTGTTTGTGTTTGGAATTCGGAAATAATTATTCTATTTCAACGACTGAATTTTCAGAAAAAGCGGAATATTTATATTAAAAGAAAAAAAAAAAAAAAAAAAAAAAAAAAAAAAGAAGAAACTTTTAGAGAATCGAAGTTTTTGATAAAAAGGCTGAAATTCGAGAGACAAAAGCGGAAATCCGCTAAAACGCGGAAAAATCTCTTGCCTGTGAAATTTAATTATGCAATGGTATCATATGAAGGTTAAATAATTCAGCTGAAAATATTAAGGTAAAAATTATCAACACAAACATTAATACTTTTCTATTTAAAAACATATTAAAAAAAATTTAAAATAAGAAATTTATATTTCTCACATTTAAAACTTTAACTCAAAAATAAATACATAAAAGGATACGCTCCAATGAGTTTTGATGATAGAGACGTTTTAGCAGCATTGATGATGCATTCTTTGCCTAAACTATCGGTATTTATAGTTAAATGTTCCTGAATATACTTGCAAGCTTCCCTGTAAAATCAAAAATAAATATTAGCAACATTAAAATATTTATTAAACTTCATAAGGAAAATACATACTTTAAAAATTTTAGTAGGTTTTAGAAAAATAATTTGTTTTTATTAATGTTCTTATTCAAAATAAAAAATACATAAAAGAGAAGAATTTTTAATTATTTTATTAGTTGTTCGGTAGCTAATTAAATATTCTTATCCTGAATGCCTTTTTTAGTTATATTTTTTCTATGAGTTGATGTTTTGGGGCAATCATGCAAAATTTTATTTATACAGTAGAGAACCGATTATCCGGAACGATCGGGACTATCGCTATTCCGGATAACTGATTTTTCCGGTTTTCTGAATCGCTACAAAAAGCCGTTTTTTTAGTGTTAAACCCAACTAAAAAAAATAATATTTGGAAATAATCTTAAAAATAAGAAAAAAAGATGAAGTAATACACTAATGATTATTTCTGAAATGATGCTAAGGTAAACATCTTTCAAAAAAGAAAGAAAAATCCTAAAATCTTATGAGGAAAAAAATTTTTTTTTAAAAAAATTGAGGGAAAATTTATCAAATTTCGTTCCGGTTTTTTGGTTTTCCGATTTCCGGATAACGGGTTCTGTACTGTACTTCTAGAATAATAGTTTTAAATTTCTAGATTTGTAATTATGACAGCTTTTTTTATTTATTTAGTTTTAAGGAAAATGAAAAAAAAAAAAAGAAATTTTTTCAAAAATAGAATATTAATTATGCATAGATGTATAGTTCGTAACAAAAATGCCGTTCAGTGTATGATCTAAGTTTTCTCTCTCCCTTCATTAAAACGTTAATTGTACAATCATATGGATTAATTCCTCACTGAATTCTACAAAAAATTAGGACTTCACAATTTCAATAACGCATAACTGTTTTATAATATAAACTAATAAATACTAATATATTTTTAATATTTATTAAATTTGAAGCAGGGTAAGCAATTTGAGAGTTTTAACCCAATTAAAGTGTCATATCAAAAAAGTTTAAAATGCATCCTTGCATTAATATAAACATTATTCACATTTCCAAAATCACATGGCAGGTATAGCCAAATATTTAATACTACTTTCTATTAATAATTATTGTTGTATATTATAAAACATTCGTTCAGACATAGCCAGTTTTAACCATAATGTCTAAAACCAAACTCTGATATAAATTATTCTACTAACTTGCAGGCTAAACGATAACCACTGATGATAGAAGTAGGATGAATTTTACATTTAACCAGTTCATCTGCATTTTTTAGAAGTTCAGCAGCAATTAACACCTAGAAAATAATTAGAAAAGTTTTATTACAGAGGGAAAAGTTAAATAAATAAATAACCAAATAAAAAAACAAACTTAATGTAAATTTTAGGAAGATAAATAAAATGTGACAGGCTACATCTATGAAAATTTATTGAAATGACTGATGTATTATATGCACTGATGTATTATATGACAAAAAGAAATAAAATAAATTTTTCAAATGATATAGGATTATTTTAGAATATATTGTTACAAAAAAAATCAGGATTTTTAATATTATGTAGAAAAGTGTAGCAATCTGCAAAAAAAACTATTTAAAAATAACTTGGATTAGATGATGAAATGGACAAAATTTAAGCACACCAAAAGTGATTTTCAAAACCATTAAAAAAGGCGTAGCCTTAACTGGACTATGTGAGTGTTGAAATAATAAGCATTAAAAATATCAAGATTTGCAAAATTAGAATGGAGAATTGAAAAAGCAAGTTCTAACACCCCCCCCCGCACACACCTCTTAAAATTTTGTTGTAGTATTCCCATAAAAACGATAAACCCCGGGTTAATTACTCATTTCGATTTGCAATGAAACCCTTCCGTGGATTGTTATTAAGATGTAATTCGCTTCCCATACAGTTTGTAAGAAGAGCGTTTTTTCTCCCCATGTCTGGCTAAAAACATGCCGGGATGCGAAACTCTGAGATAAAAGAAGCAGCAGCCACTCCGTTTCTTAATTGAAGTGGAGGAAAAAGTGTTAGTGCCATGCAAACCCTGTTCTCATTTCAATCCATGGAAAAATTAAGGAGCTTTTGCGAGGAACTCTTTTACGAATATTTAAAATTTGTTAAATAAAGTAGTACATTGTGATAAGCCTAACCGGTCGCTCATGCCATATAATAGCAACATTTTTTCGCAGGGTTTTTAAAAATTAATTGATGAGGGTGTCCCTCTGTAAAGTTTACTGGAAGTTGAAATCCAAACTGTTATTTTAAACATTGTTCTAAATTTATTCTAATGGACCTTTATTTTTTAATAAAACATTTTTTCTCTGTGAAACTTTTTTATGTATGACCCATTCTAAAATATTCTCATAAAGAAGATAACTTTTAGTGCTAGTTCTGTTAAATATATGTTTTTATCAGAGTTGGGTTTTTGCCGTCAAAAACTGGCTTTTGACATGACAGTGGTAAAAACCGTCAAAAACCTACTGTTTTCTTTAATTTATGGCATATAGCGGACAATATATTATTTTCACATCATTGCCTTAACCCCTTAACTGCCGCAGGCGTATATATGCGCTTTCCCGAAGTACCATGCTTTGTATTGCGCTGCTATAAATAGAACTACACCCCCTACTTCTGAATGCAGTAAAATGGCCTTGAAAGTGTTTGCTTTGCGAATGTATTACTAATTTCGGATGAGGGGGAATGGGAAAAGGATGTTATGGAAAAGTGACATTGTATTAATCGCTTGGTTGTATTTATTTGAGTAGGGTCGAGTTTATTCTTTTTTCGCTTTCGTTTCCCGTATGTATTTGGTGCTTTTTATTATTTCCATCAACGTCTTCAAAGAAAAATGCATCGCGAAAATGTGCTGTTGGTTCAAGAAAAAAAATCCCGCTATCAGTGCGATGAATGTGATGTGTCCAACCATGTTTCAGGATTTATCATACAACAGCTAAGTTTTAACATCTTTTATATTGTATTTTTATTATTTAATTTAAATTTTGTATTTTCTTTCTTTCCTTTTTCTTGTCTTGTAAAACTAAACTGTTTTTAAATTGCAAAGCGTGCATCATTTTTCCCCACCAAAACACCGTGTAAGGAAGTGCACTTGAGCGAAAAACGGTGGCACTGGGGAGTGAATCACGTTAATTTCACTCGGCAGTTAAGGGGTTAATAAATGAATGTTGTAAATGATTGCTATTGATTTTGCAACTATAAACATGTATACTTATTGAAAATAGTGATACTTACTTTTTTCATTATAGCTTGATTTGCAAAGGATTCAAAATTTTGCACTTCTTAATTGTTAGAAATAAACAAACAAACAAAAAAGCTTGGAACTATTAATAAGTACAAGAACTAAAAAAAAGAATTTAAAATTTGGCATTTCTTCAATATTAGAAATAAGCTAAACAAAACTTGTAACTACTTACAAACTCTAAGTCAAGAATGACTTGACATTCTTTAGTAATGTAATATGCCAAACAAAATTATCAGGGTTCGTGATTTTTTTAAGAAAAATCAAAAGAATCAGATTTTTTTTTTTATTTAAATCAGATTTTTTTGATTTTTATTCGAATACTCTGTAAGAACTTTAATTTATGATTAAAAAAAATTATAAATGTTTAATCAAATTAACTTAATATTAAAACTATATTGTAACAACATTTTAGAAGCTCTAACTAAAATAATTTTTCATTATAATACATGGCTTTAAATGCATAGCAACCATTTTGAAACAAATGCATGATTAAAATTTAAAGACTAGATGAAATAGACAATTTAAAGAATACTTCAGGGGTCTATCTGTCTGGGTTTTTCTGAGAGGTACCTATTTTGTGAAAATTAAAAATTATATTAAAAAATCAACACAAATATAGTAAAAATATGGATTTATCGTTTCTTACGAGACACAAAAATGAAATTTTAAGAAAAAGTATTTCGAGTGATTATTCTATCATTTTTCTAAAGTTGAATTTGTAAAGGTACCGTTAAACGGTATTAAATTTGGCTTGGACAGATCCCTGTACTTTAACTATTAAAACAAAGTTTCACTTAGCAAACCATAACTTTAATTTAAAATTGGGATTTTTTTTTTCTCTTGATTTTTAAAATGACAAAATAAATGTAGCAGACTGTGTTTAAAAATGTAGTCATCCATCAAAAAATAAATAAATATTTAATCTAGATATTTTTATATTAAAATATTCATTTTTAATTCTATGTCAAAATAGATAAGTTAAGCTTTAAAAAAAAAATTAGAAAATCTATGGACTACTCATTGGAAATTTTTTTCACAAAATTTCTTTATAGAAAATCAGATAATGTCAAAGATATTGTAAACATATTATGAGAAAAAAATACCAGTTAATAACCCTATTGCATCAAATAGTCTTTGAAAGAGTTTGAAAGGGAAGAATAACATTATATTATAAAAAAAGCATCTGAATTCATCAGCCCTTTTTTTTTCTGTTTTTGGCATATTAAGGTAATTTCTTTTTAATATAACCGTAAGCTTCAGAAATATACATTTTCCACCAATAAAATATGATGTAGATTTTAATTCACGCTTTTTCATTCAAAAGGTAGAATTTTAATTTACATTAATTGTATTACTTTTTGAAAAAATTCATGTTTATTAATTACTTTCTACAGCTATGCAAGTCTATATTAAGACAGCATTAAATGTTTACTTTAATCTGTACTTTCAATCTCAAGAATCAAAACATTTTTAAAAATGTAATTTCTAATGTGTTGGAATTTAACACACACCAAGAAAGTAATTTCGTTAACTAAAATTAATTAATGCAGCAATTTATTTAAATTAAATTTTAATACTAAGAAAAGAATGAAAGTATCAAAAATTTAAAACACTGTTTCTTAACTTTTAAAATCAATATATATAGATAAAAAAAATTTGTTGATTTAAATCAATGATTTTTTTAAAAAAATCATTTGATTTAAATCAAGCTGATTTAAATCAACGAACCCTGAAAATTATGCTTGGAAATGTTGAAAATTTTGTTTTGTATCCTAATATTTTACTTCATATAGTATGTTTTGATATAATCATGTTGGGAAAATGCAAGAATCTGTTATTAAATATCTTTTAACAACTTTTTTTCTAATTTTATTGCCCAAAAATGAATTAATTATTATAAGCAGTTAAACTCAAATGAAAATACAGTTTTACCAAAACTATGGGTTTTTTGACAGAGGGTTTTTTAACATGACGGTAAAAACCGTCATGTGTCAAAAACCTGCGAACCCTAGTTTTTTATTAAATTTAAGTTGAAATTTTACTATGGACAATTATTTTCGTGGATTTTTAAATTTGGATACAATTTTAAGCCCAAAATTTTACAGTAGCAAAATTTTTTTTGAACATATGTAAAAAATATATTTAGAAATTTAGCAGTCCTAAATGATTTTTATCTGTTACTATTTCTGAAAATGTTTTCTTTTACCATATTTTTGTGTTGATATTATAATGTAATTTTTAATTTTCACAAATTATGTTGAAATTTTTACAAAATAAGTACCTTTTTTGGAAAAAAAAAACTATACAGACCCCTGATATTATTATGACTTGCGAGTTTTGAATTGAGCATTTTAAAATGCTTCATTTGTACCAACTTCACCGGAATTCCGAACTGTTTTGCATTTCAGCACTTATTGTTACTCATTTCTACAATTTTGTAAGATGGACAAATACCTTGTAAAGGCAATATCTTCTACTCCGAAACGGATAAATGAAAATGAAACAAATGTGGGTAGAAACGATCAAAATGAAACAAACACGCATTTGGGCAACCTAATGAGAATAGCTGATAAAAAAAAGTAGATGTAGAACATTTTCCATATGATGATGCAAAAAAAAAAAAATATTCAATGCTTTAAAAATTAGAGGAGGTTAAAAATGTATTATAATTAAACAAAAGATTTTTTTTTCGAGTCTCTTGGTGTTTTTTTTTTTTTTTTAGATATCTCACTTAACTTCTTGAAATCTCACCCTGTTTTTGAGAAAGGGTGAGAAATTCTCACCCATTTTTTTTCTGCGATGAAAACACTGAATGAGCTATTGAAAATTAAGTTTACATACAACAGATGTAGTTCCATCTCCAACTTCTTGATCTTGTAGCTGAGCAAGTTCAACTAGAACTTTGGCAGCAGGATGCTCAATTTCTAGTAACTTCAGTATAGTAGCTCCATCATTTGTACATGTTACATCCTGTTTCATACAAGATTATATTCAAATAAGAAATTTCATAAATAATTTACCAAAAATCATAATTACACATGAAAATTGAAAAGTATAATGCTGAGATTTAATTAAATATTTCTATATAAATATAGCAAATTTTTGAATGACAACTAACAATATTTCGAGTAGTTTATTCAAGCAAAATTGTCAACAATTTATTTTCATTAAAATTAACAGGGACTAAATCTTTATTCTGTTTTTATAAATAAGATTTTGAAGTTAGTTAATCCTTAACTAATTACACAGATAATGACACAAATTTTAGAAAATGTAGCACAGTTCCAGAAATGACTTATCAGTGTAGAAATAAAAAAATGAAAGCTAACATGAACTAGAGGGCATTTTTTCTTTTTCTATGAACTCTGAGTTTAAATTTTAATTTAACAAAAGAAAAAGTATTAAATTTTTATACTAATACCTAAAAAAAATACCAGTTTATTTGTTAAAAAGAACAAAAAATCATGTTAGAAATCACAATAGTCTTAATGACAAGCTAGGCGTTTTTATAATCAGAAAAATCAAAACAAATAATTTTGAAAAAATAAAAAAGACAATAAAAGAAAAAAAAATTTCCGCAACAAATTCAAATAAAGTCAACCTGGCATAAATGAATATCATTGGTTCCAGCTAACTCTCTTCAATTAAAAGGGGAGTGCATTATACACAATTGTACACAGTGCGCTGGTTCATTGAATACTATAATTTCAACAAAAACATTACAATATTTTAACAATTGTAAATAGCCAAAATCATCGCGCTATTGCAATGGAAGCCACGACTGGCTCAAACAAGAGTTCAAGAGAAACCTGAGCAGTTCACAACAATTGCTACAGATGGCGCTTCGCTTAAGACCGAACATGCATTATTCAATTTTAAATTAAAAATTTTACTTTTTAATGGTATTTAATACATAGTATAGTGTTTTAATTAAGTAAACCCAATTTTATTATCAATAAACAATTATATTAAGTACTGTGTGTTAGCATCAATAAAATACAAATGCTATTTAAAGTTACACAAAATGAAAACTATGCTAATGAAAAATATAATATAGGTTCTATAAATAAATATTATTTTATTCCTTCCAAAAAAATCTATAACTGACTGTTTTCATACCTGTTAAATTTATCAAAATTCACCTGTTAATTTATCAAAATTTGTTTCTTTCTGTTTCTATTAAGACTTTCATGATTTGCGTATTCCCTTCAAACAATCATTCCTTTTTCTTGCTCATTGTGCAACTAACTCAGAATTATTCACTGAAGTAAAAATTATTATGCTACTTTATAGAAAGACACACTGCACACTAGTGTGTTAGGTTTTTGAAACTTTCTTATCAAGGCCAATAGCGGACTACAAGTCTTGACCACACGACAAATAACTCAGTAGGTACTTTGTTTACATTCTAAATGATGTGCGAGTGAAGTAAGTCAAAGAGGGGTAAAGCTCCTTTTATTTACTCTAATGTATAAGCTGCCAGCAAGATTTGATCAAATACTTAAAATATATACTCTTAACGTCTGGTATAGCAACAAATGAACAGGACGTTCCTTTTGAAGTGACCATTTTTATCTTCTTAACAGAAAAATAGAAACTCTATTCTAGCTGGTGAAACATTTCTAAAAAATAAAATATACTTTTTCCATTTCAGTATTTCTTCTTTAAGCAATTAAGCGAGAATTGATAACAATTATAAGCTTAAACGGGGAAATTTAACATTAGTTTAATACAAAATGATTTGGTTCCATCAAATTTGCTTTGTATAAGCGGGTTATTCGATTATCTGATATGCAATTAAGTGGAGATGACTGTATTAATAATCAAGATTTTTGAAAAACACGAATTTAAAAGATAAGGGAATTGTGGTGACCCATAACTATTTTCCCTTTAAAATCTTAATGGTTAACCTGTAAACCTTCTGATACTTTAAGTGTACCTACACACCACAATACCATAGAATAATAAATTCATATTTTTAAAATACTCAAAAAATATGAAATTATATTAGTAATAATAATTAAGAAATCAAGGAATATTTGAAATTTAGATTTGTTTAATTTGATTTTTTATTGATTTACCATATTAATTTCATTCTTTACTAATTTTATGAAAGGCAAAATTTTTTCAGAGAATTTCATTTAGATATTATGCAACAGGGTTGGAGTTTTTGCCGGCAAAAAGGGGTTTTTGCCAGGACAGTGGCAAAAACCTGGTAAAAACCGGCAAAAACTGGTAAAAACCGGCAAAAACCAAATTATCTAAATTGCTAATTAAATATTATTACAAAATACTTTAAACAAATTTAAATCAATCATAAGGAATAATAATTTTGATAAATTACATGAAAAAATTATTTTTAACATATTAATAATTAATATATCTAAGGGTAATAATTTTTAAAAGATTGAAAATTTTTGATCTCTTTTCATTTTAGAATCCTAAAATAAATGTTTTTTTACAAATAAATATTATTATTTGTATAATACTATTATTTATTATAAAAAATTATTATTTGTACAATAATTAACTACACATGTTGATAGATATTTTATGCTTTAAATTATATTTGTATTAATTTAAAATAAGCTCATTTCACTGGAAAAAAGAGAATAATCACAAATTTTCCAATCAATAATGTTTTATACTACTAAAATGATACATTATCATTTAATTATGGAAAAATAGTTTTGTTAATTTTTTTGTAATTATTTATATTCATAGTATATATTTCAATTTTAGGAATAATTTTGTATCAAAAATGTGTTTTTGTCCTCTCATCTTGGAAAATATAGGTTTTTGCCACTTTGGTTGGCAAAAACCTGTTTTTGCCAGGACGGTTTTTACCGGTATTTACCATGGTTTTTTCCACCAGCAGCAAAATCTTGCCAACCCTGTTATGCAACAATTCTATTCCAAAAGTTTCTTCCTTTTGTCCCAATAAGTATCTAATGTTAAATAATAGGATGCAACTTAAAAATTACAATGCATGATACTTAGAACCCATTGGTTGTCGAGCAATAAGCAACAAAAAACATTGTGGATATATCTGTTAAAGTTATAAGTAAAACAAATGCTATTTTGCTAAAATACACAAATAACAGAGGTAATAAAATTTATTCACCCCAATATTGTCAACAAGCATTTTATCCAATCCAATGGGTCCCAAAGAGCTCTTTACAATGTTAGCAATTGCACAAGCAGCTGTCACTGAAAAATAACATATACAGAAGTTAGTAAAATATAAAAATAATTTTAAAGTTAAAAAAAAAAGTTAGCGCTGTTTAAACAAAAAAAAATTCTTAAAAAACAGTATATTCATAAAAATTTTGATTTACTTTACAAAATTTTTTAGATTTTTATTCTTATCTAAAAATATTAAAGTTTGATATCTTATCTAGACTTATTTCACGAGGCTAGTGAAGATAAGTCATGATATTGATTACTTAATTTTTCGCTGCTTACGACAAGCAAAATCAAAATCAATGTTATGACCTACAGCAAATAGCAACAGAACTTATCAAGTTGGTGGCAAAAAGGACTATTTTTATATAAAAAATTAAATACTTTTAATTACTAAAATTCATTCTTTTTAATTGATTGATTTTATTAAAAGTTACTCCTGGGTTATTGCCCAGTAGACGACAAAATTTGGCAATTATTTTGAAGTAGATCACAATACCGTAATCTTCAGGACGATATTTCCACATCACTAAGGAGCTAAATTGATTTTAAAATGAAAAAATGTTAATAAAAGAAAACAAAAAGCATTGAGGTTTGCTCGGGAAGCTTTCCGTATTGTGATCTGTGGCAGAATAATTGCCAAGTCTTGACAACTTCCGGGGGAGATTTCCGCATCTTGATTTGTGGCAGATTATACGCCAAGTCTTGGCAACTACCGGCGAGACACTAAAAAAAACTTCACAGAAAGGGACTAACTCAAAATGTATACCTTGTAGCCACCCCCCGGACCAATATCTACATGTTTTTCTAAAAAAAAATTCAAGTTTAAAATCTATTTGTAATTGGCGATTGTAGTTGGCACAACAGATCATGATACAGAAATATCCCCAACTTCCAGGCAGCGGCCTGCAAGAAACTAAGAAAAAACATCACAGAAAGGAACAAACACGAAAGGTATAACACGCAGCCACTCCCGGGCAAACATCTTAACATCATATTTAAAAAAAAAAATTGAAAGTTAAAAATTTATTTGTCACCTTGGTGATTGTAGTTAGCACGGCAGATTACAATACAGAAATATTCTCAGCCCAGGGATGGTTAGAGTTATACCCTTCGAGATGGTCCCTTTCAACATTGCTTTTCTTAGTTTCTCATGGGCGGCTGGCAGGAAGTTATAAAGACAAGTTGATTATTCTGCCACAGATCACGATATGGAATTCCACCCACCCTCTGTTTTTTTAAATACAATTTTTACTGTAACATTACTTAATTTTTAACTCACGTGTGTAACCATTCAACCACATTGAAGAAGTTTTACTAAAAGTTTTGAGAGAAAATTAAATTATTCCAGTTACCTATGTTATATAACTTTACTATTTCAAATGATGTAAAAGAAATCCTTACGTCAATATTTGGAACAATTCTTCGCTAAATTTGATGTGATAATATACTATCAAATTTTGATAATCAGTGTTTTCACTACAGCGCGAGAATCTCGCATATTTTTTTCTTTTCTCGCATTAAAAAATGATTACCGTGAGAAATTCGCGCATTCTATAAATCAATTTCAAAATTCGCGAATTTCTCGCATTTTGGAAAAAGCTTCGAATTACGCCATTTAGAATAAAATCCGTTTCACTTTTCTTATTGGATCTTTCATTATTTTCAACATCTGCCCCATTATCTAGCTTCCCTATTTACCAGTATTGTTCAGAACCTTTTCGAACAACAGAACACAACCACGGAACCCCTTTCAGAACACATGTCTGCAACCACGCGTTTACCGTAGGTAAGGTTTCTTCGTGTAAGACGTTCAAATTTTTTATGCACTTATGCAAGATGGACAAATACCTTGTAAAGGCAAAATCTTCTATGATGATGCATCAAAAATATTCAACGCTTTAAAAAGTAGAAGACGTTACAAATGTATTATAATTAAAGAAATGATTTTTTTTTCAAGAGATTTTGTGTTTTTTTAGAAATCTCACTTAACTTTTTGAAATCTCACCCTGTGTTTGAGAAAGGGTGAGAAATTCTCCCCCATTTTTTTTCTATGATGAAAACACTGATAATGTATCAGAGTATGAGAACTGAATTTGTAATTAGTATATGCCCTAATTAAATTTCGTTGAATAAACAAGATGTGTTTAGATTTCAAATAATAAATCGAATTCTAGATCAGAATTTAATTTTTAAATGGAAGCATTAAGATACGTTGTGCAAACTTTGTTAATTTATTTAAGATCGAAGAAACACATATTTTACGAGTAAAAGACTGATTTTAGATGTGTTTAGAGTCCATATCTATATTTTAACATCATACACTTTAGTAATTGTAATTTTTAATTTTGAAATGTCACTTTTGTTTGCACGTGGTATTGCCGGTGAAGTGTACCATATAAAAGAATAAGATCTTATGCATACCATTTTGGGTACGAACGGGCTGCCCTGTTGTACGGGATCCACCCAAATGAAGCATTGCACCAGTAGACATTGTTAAATTTATAATAAGCAACAATCAAATTATATTCACACAAGATGATTTTTAATTGACATAAACAGTCTTCAATCGTCTTTATTTTGGGAAAGGAAGGGTAGGTGAAGAGAGGAAAGCACGTTTGAAGTGAAAGTAGAAGTTAATTCTCTGATCTATACAAATCATTCTTTGCGGCTCAACCGCACGTGCGAGCGATCCGCAGTTGCTGGTGTTAAACTATGACACTGGCACCTGGTGTTAAATATATTTACAAAAATAAGGTAAAATCGTACATTAATTTGAATGAGTGGGAGGGTGAGAGAAAGAGAGAGAAATGGCATTATAACAAGTTTAATTAATCATTAGAATAAAATTTTTTTAAGCATTAAAATAATATATTATAGATATTTTTTTTTTGAAAACTGACTTAAAAACAGATTTCTCTTAAAAAAGAGTAGAGAGAAGAGAGTTGTTAGTAGGATTATTAATTTGAAGATTTTTGTTATGTAGAAAGTAACAATTTTTAAAAAATTGAAATTTTGTGAAAAATACAATATATGTTTGCCTATTAATTCATTATCTTTTGTTAACGAATCTCTTCTTGCATTTTAGATTATTATTATTTTATTTTTTATAGAATCAAAGAAATTGGCTCAAGGTGAAACATCTTGGTACATCATAATCTGCTGAGCCATTGGATGTTAATATTTGGGAAACAACTATTTCGAGTTCTTTTCTTTTAACCTTGTTAGTTGATTGAATTTGAATATTAATGCAGCGGAAACCTTTCTGTTTAGTCAGCATAGGCTAAAATTGATCAAGTTACAAAAAAATTTAAAATATATTTTAAATTTACTTATAAGTAAAGATAGATTCAGTTACAGACAAAATACAGCAAAGTTACAAAGGTTTTACTAAGTTTCAAAATAAGTTGTGACTATCATGTAAAAAAAATTACTCAAAGTGGTCACTTTGAATGGTCACACCAAATTACTTAAAGTGTACTCCTTGGTAGTGATTTAATATGAATTCCTTGTTCGTAAAAACCAGAGTCACAAAGATTATTGTTCAACAGTAAACATTAAAAAAGTTACATGAATTTTGGCAATTTTTTAAAAATTAGCATCATGAATTTTTGAACCAAAAATTTGATTTTTACAGAGATTTGGTTGTGGAGGGAATGAATTCCTTAATAATAAAAACACACGAAAGCATTTGTTAAATAATTTGCTAAGAAAAGTTTTATCAACGAACAACCGGAATTGGTCTTCGCTTTTGTTCTGTCGTAGTTAGGCAGAAATTTACAAGAATTTGCTCAATGTGTCAAAATATATATATATATATA